CTCCCTCGCGCTCCCCCGTTGCCCCTCCTCGGCTGCAGCTCAGAGCCTCAGATGATGAGAGGTTTGTACATTAAAATGTTATTGAAATTCAGGATAACAGATTCTATTTCACGGCAACCCCGTCTGGCCTCTAAAACGTAGATGTCATCAAAGGATCACAGGGGATGGAGGGCTGTTTTACAAAAAAAATAAAAACAAAACAATGATACTATCAGAGGTTGGGGTGTGTGTGTCTTTCAATAAAATCTTCCTGAGAGACATTTCCTGTGGTGGAAGAGAAACTATGGCTACTTCTAGTGCCACAAGGACTTTCCTCCTCAGCCAAAATGCCCCAAATTCATCCCAGCTAGTTTAAATTTATGGGAGACAGTGCTGTGTAGAAGGACAACTCAGGAGACCTGGTTTCAATCCACTTGGCCACAGAAAGCTACTGGAGGTGAGGAGTGGCAACAGTAAAAACACACCTTAAAACATTCTCGCCTTCCTTGAAAAACCCTGTTAGGATCAGCAGATGTTGGATGTAAGACGAGGACACATAGCAAAAACAATTTATCAGCCTCTTCCTATACTGAGTCCCCAATGAACTCTTAAAACGATCAGCAACCAACAGTTGGTTATGAAGTTATTTGTTATGAAGTTAGATGTTTTTCAACAGGGTAGAACTTTTCACCCAATCAGAATGTAAAGCCTATTAGAACAGGTCCTGCCTTCCACTTGGAAGTGTAAAGCCATTTTTGTTCAGAATTGTTCACTAAGCAGCCATTGCTACACAGACGTGCCACATAATAACACACAAAATAATAATTTCTCCATATATGCTCATGCACGACCCACCAACGTTAAGCAGATACTCACAGCAGCAACAGTTTGTACAAGAATATATAAGATCTGTGACAAACCCAGATGCCAAGGCTGTCCTCCTACCTGCCGTAGCCATACCTTTAAAGAACCCATAGATACTCACAGCAGCAACAGTTTGTACAAGGCTGTCCTTCTACCTGCCGTAGCCATGCCTTTAAAGAACCCATCGATGTCACTCCAATACAAGGACTCTGGGGGTGCTCAGATGGGCATCCGTCCTGCTCCCTGGGCTGCTAAAGCAATAAGATGGTTCAATCCTTTATCAAGCCATCTGATGCTGTAACTGCAAGCGTGAACCAGCCTGTCCTGAGAGCATCCCTACCTGCACCTCCTTCTGGGTCCCTGTCAAGGGTGGCTACTTTTCGTTGGTGATGTGCAGTCACTGGCAACCAACCAAGCCGGAGCTTGCAGCTCTCAATTTGCCTTCCACTTTCAATTTTCCAATCTTCCAGTATGAAGGCAGCTTAATTACATCACAATATTGGGAAATGAAACATTTCTTCTGCTCTTCCCTGTCTAATATTACAGTACTGTTATGCTATACCACTTTGGGGGGGAAAATTAAAAGATTGAAAACTTCCACCCAGAAATGGGAAGAGACGGGGGGGGTATTGTTATTTTCAACAGGGAGGTGGACAAAATAAGGTTGCTTGAGGTGTGTATACCACTTGGATCACACAAAATGCCACACCAGCCCTCTACCCAACCTTAACCAACCCTGTTTAACCCAGTCCAGCCCACTCCAGTTGAACCCATGTAAACAAGCCCTCCTTTTCCTCATGGACTTCTTCTAATATGATATATGCAGTCTTCTGTCAGCAACAGCCTTCCATGTTATATATATATTAAACAAATCAATCTCTATACAAAAGGGATACCGTGTTTCCCTGAAAATAAGACAGGGTCATGTATTAATTTTTGCTCCAAAATTGTTTTGGAGCATTTCAGGGGATGTTTTTTCCCCCCCACGTACATTTATACAGTCATGTCATCTTCTGGTTGCTGCACAATGGTGGAGGGCGGGGTTTCACTTCACTGGGGCTTATTTTCGGGGTAGGGCTTATTTTTGGGAAAACAGGGTACAAAGCTAACATATGAGGGGGTCGCTACAGGATCCCCCAGCAGGCAGTCCTGCTCTTATCCTGCACCTCATGGTTGCTACTGACCTGAAAGTAGCTGTTGTGGAGCAAATAAACTTCAAGGGGAGATGAGGGCGCCTGCAGGTCATCTGTTGTTGGAATGGGGTGGGGGCAGGGTGGGGCACTCTCTGGCATTCCAGAGTAGAAGGCCAAAGCTGCCCTGGCTGCTACGTAACCGTTTGTTATGAAGTTCCAGACTATCACCAAAAGTATAAACAGGCATAACTGGATTCATGCCCGCTGCATTTGTTAACTGGCCTATCTAGTGCCAGAATATTTGTATTACTGCCAAACATGTTGTGAATGTTTTGTGTTAGCAACGTAATGGTCACTTCCAGTGCTTTCTCCATTTAATTTTCTCCTGACTTCACTGTTACAATGCCATCCCAGTTATCTGTATTGTATATTTACCAGAGGATCTTGGTAAGCCACCATGTATCTTCAGGTGGACTATAATCTATGAAAGTTCATGACATCTTGCATTTTTTTAATCTTTAAATTGCCATAAAACTGCTCTTTCCATTCCCCATATTTAGGGCTTAGGTGTACATTGTCCTCTTCTCAGTGTGTGAACACATCTTGACTTGACACGTGTTTTCTAGTCTCCTACTATCAGCCATGTTAGTACATGGCTTACCTGCATCATTTAGGGTCAAACTGTACATTACAGATGGTACATCAGTAGAAGCAGAAAACTTGATTCCAAGAGAGTTTTGTACCTGAACAGTCATACTTCCAAAGGTGGGCCATTTCACTTCCTCGTGCGTAAACTATAGTATAGAAGTTTATGCTGTCAGATGTCTTTCAGTACAGTACTTGTTCCAATAGAGGCCATTTGTAATGTTTACTTTGACCCCGAATGTGTGAATTCAGGGGATGAAGAGTGATGGCTATTCTGAGAAAATATCAAAGTGATCATCTTGAATTAAACCAAAATTTAAAAGTAGTCTTTGGACTTGAGGGAGAGTTTGGATTGTGCATTTCTGCCATTGTATCCTGATACGTGAGGCAAGAAGCAAAGTACTATCCCCTCACACAACTCTAGTTAATTGGTCTTCCTTCTCTCTTTTATTTGATTTATTTATTTATTTATTTAAAATATTTCTGTCCTGCCTTTCTCCCCAAAAGGATCCAAGGCATAAATGCTCTTTGCTTCTGGGAGATAAGGCACAGGCTAACATAAAAAAAGAGACATTGCATTGATTTCCTTTGAGTTGGAGAGTGGAGCGGGGTGTGTGTGTGTCTGAACAAATCCACTGAGGAGTTGTTAGAAGTTCCTATTCTGAAGAGAAGAGCATATCACAATTCAGCCCTCCACTCATTTCAGAAGAGGAGAGCCTTCCTCTTTTACCAGCTTGCCACTCACTACTGAAAAAGTCTCCAGCTGGGTAAGTCCAGGAATGCCAGATCAACAGATATCATTACAGCCTGGATGTTTTTACTCTTCTGTCATTGGCTGTTAAGGGGAAAGTATCCTCGGTTAACTGATAGAGCTGTAGCTGCCTGTAGAGGCTTTACCCCAGGAGTGGGCAATTAATTTTTACAGGGGGCCACATGAAAAATCTGAACTATGTTCAGGGGCTGAACCAAAAAACCGAGCTAACTCACCTGTCCTCCGTTCCCCCGCGGCCTTGCTCTCCGACTTCTTCTATCCTGCACAGTGGAGGGTACAAAACTTTTTTGGGGCAGCTTTCCACCTAAGGTCTCTCTCTCTCACACACACACACACACGATTGTCCTACACACGCACATGATTGTCCTAGAGCCAGCTCTGTAGAAAAGAGCTGGCTTTGGAGAGAACTGAGCAGAGCAGCAATGGCTCTTCAGAATGTTAGGGGCTCTTGGAACCACGGAGAACACTGAATTTGTCACTTCTCTTATGCTCTGCTGCCCTCCCATCTGTGACAGGCCTGGTCCTGCATGCCTGCCCTAGAATGAACCTGTTGATCTTCTGCTGTAGGGGATCATGGCAAAGAGAGTAGCAGTCATTGGTGCTGGGGTGAGTGGACTGACATCCATCAAATGCTGCCTGGAGGAAGATCTCGAGCCCACTTGTTTTGAACAAAGCAGTGATATCGGAGGACTATGGAGATTCACAGTAAGTGGGAAGTCTTCTTGCGTAAAGTTAGTACCAACAGAAGTTTTTCATTGCAAGCCAGATGTGGAAGCTCTCATATTCTGGGAAATGTCTGCTATGACATTAAACCAAATTCTTGGTACAAAGGACAACAAAGACACACACATGCACACACATGTCTCTCCACCACAAATATTTGGACTGTCGAATGAAATAGTGAGGAATGTAAGTATATGTGTATGAGAGTGAACGTGTGTGATTTGATTTACTGAGTACTTGGATGAATTAGACAGCATTAGGAATCTAGCTGGCATTCCTTCTCTGTGTACCACCCAAGAAAGCAAGGGTAAAGATCATTTGTAACAATGACTTAGCCCATTTCAATCTGAGTTGACATCAGTGTGAGGTTGTTGAGAAATCTGTGCTAAGATTCACAGCCAATTTGGTCTCTTCCCAGCCACTGCCTTCCCTGCCCCCAAGAAATCGTCAGAACATGAAAAGAGCCCTGCTAGATCTGTCCAGTGTGACCTGCCATTATATGCCAGCCAAGCAGATCCCTCCAGAAATCCCACAAGCAGAACATGAGTGGAACAGCGCCATTCTGCTTATGTTCCTCAGCATAGGGGATATGAGGCTGCCCAAGAAGATATTATTGAAAGATTATATGAAAGTGACATCCCGACTACCATGGTGTTTGTAGCTAGCTGCTGCTCCAGTAGGGTATACCAAGACTTTTCCTTGCCGTTTGGAAAGATGCCCCCGTATTTGTCCCTTATTAGCACACATGAGCTGAGACAACTGCGAACTAAATGCAGATGGAACATGTTGCAGTTGAACGAGATTCAGGAACATTAGATGAACCAGGATGGCACAGATAGATATTGCCCAGCAGGATGCTGTAAGATGGAGCATATGGTACATTTTCTAACAGAAAGACTTATGTGTGCAGATTTGAGGGACCAATATCTTAAACCCTTAAAAACTTGGATCAAATACAACTCTCCTTCATGTACAGTTTTATATCTACTAGTTGGCACAGACTATCTCCTATAGGACTGCTAAATTTGCTAAACTGGCCATGGAAAGACTAAACTCATTGCCTGCTTCACAATCTGTTCAAATTAACCTTACAACTTGATCCATATTTGAGAGTGCTATTTTATGCTTTTCTGATTATATGTATTTATATTACATGTCAAACACTGTCTTTTATCAGTGGTTTAATTTCTGTTTGTACATAAAGCCTGATTAGCTATGGAGCAATAAAGTACAGTGGACCCTCAACTTACAGACGGCTCAACTTACAGACTTTTCGAGTTACAGACTTCTCTGGCCACAAAATTTAGATTCCACTTGCAGCCAGAGAATCGACTTGCAGACCAGAAAAAAACCAAAATGGAAAAAAATAGAATAAAAACCGCTGGTTATGGGATTAATCGGTTTTCAATGCATTGTAGGTTACAAAAATAAATCCAAAATGGAGAAGCCATGTGTGATAAATTAGGTTCACCTTATGATTCAATAGCTTGTAGAACCACCATTAGCAGCAATAACTTGAAGTAATGGTTTTCTGTATGACTTTATCAGTCTCTCACATTACTGGAGGAATTTTGACCCACTCTTCTTTACAATGTTGCTTCAGGTCATTGTGGTTTTGTTTATGCACATGTCTCTTAAGGTCCTGTCACAGCATTTCAATCAGGTTCAGGTCTAGACTTTGATTGGGCCATTGCAAGACCTTGAATCTTTTCTTTTTCAGCTATTCTGCTGTAGATTTGCTGGTGTGCTTGGGATCATTGTCCCTTTGCATGAGCCAGTTTTGGCCAAGATTTAGCTGTCGGACAAATGGCCTCACATTTGACTCTAGCATATTTTGGTATACAGAGGAGTTAGTGGTCAACCTAATAACTGCAAGGTGGCCAGGTCATGTGGCTGCAAAACAAGCACAGATCATCACACCTCCACCACCCTGCTTGATAGTTGGTATGCAGTGTTTGTGCTGTTATGCTGTTTGGTTTGCACTGAACATGGCACTGTGCATTATGGCCAAACATCTCCACTTTAGTCTTATCCAAAGGACATTGTTCCCAATATTTTGTGGTTTATCCAGATGCAACTTTGCATGCCTGAGCCATGCTGCCATGTTCTTTTTAGAGAGAAGAGGCTTTCTCCTGACAACCCTTCCAAATCAACCAGACTCATTCTGTCTTATTCTAATTGTACTGTCATGAACATTAACATTTCACATGCTAACTGAGGCCTGTAGAGTCTGAGATGTAACTCTTAGGGTTTTTTTGCTATTTCTCTGAGCATTGCACATTCTTACCTTGGGGTAAATTGGCTTGGACATCCACTCCTGGGAAGATTGGTAACTGCCTTGAATGTTTTCCACTTGTGAATGATCTTCCTCACTGTAGAATGATTTACTTCAAATTGTTTGTAAATGGCCTTATTGGCCTTCCCAGATTGATAGGCAGCAACAATAGCTTCCGTATGATCACTGTTGATGTGTTTCATCCCTGATATTGTGTTAACACACACCTGAATGCTCCAGACCAGAAAACTGCTAAAACTCTGGCTTTTATAGAGGGAAAACACGCTGATGATCAGTTACTCGAGGGCATTTGGTTAGCAGCACCTTAGCCTGCTACTTAGCCTCCTAATTCTGATTGAAGTAGTAACGGTGTACTTAGTTTTCACACAAGGCTTCTCCATTTTAACTTTATTTTTGTAAAATCAGTCATGACATGGTGTAATATGTCGTGTGCTGTTGTTCATCTGAGATTGTATTTACCTGATTTTCAAACTACAAAGGACCAGATGATTTTTTATTAGTCCTGATACATAAAACCATAGAATTTGAAAAACAAATATGTTAAAAAAAAAAACACACAGAGAGATGGTGGCAGCGGCAAGTGGCTGTGAGAGGTGATCACTACCGTGGGTCAGCGCAGGACAAAGCCTCAAATGCAGGGGGTTTGCAACATCCACCTGCCTTCACCCTCACTGCCTCTCACAGCCGCTCATTGCTGCCACCACCTCTTCTTTTTAATATCAGTCAATCACTCCTGCCGACACAAGGGCAGGTGAGTTCAGGACATAGGTTAATAACAGATTTAAAGTTGTCCCAAGAGGGTGCACACACTGACCCCAAAATCACAAGCCTACCATATGACTTTAAACTGACTTCCAAAACCCTGATCCATCACCCAGTTTATGTAACTACACCTCAAATGCATCTGTTTCTGAAGGATTTCTGTACATAAACTTAGGCTGATGCATCATATGGTTGTGTCTTTTTTGGGGAAACACAAGTGTTTCAATGTCAACTCATATGCGAACATGTATAATCAGCTTTTGTGACAGATTAAGCTTAGGGTTTGCTTGCTTGGTTACTTCTTAGGGTTAGTTGACAGCTGAGAATGAGGCTGCGTTTGTATCACCATCGGGAAGTGAAATAATGTGCTAATATTTCTGAAGGGGCAGACATAATGCCTGTCATGTCTGGCATCTTGGTTACTGGAGATTTTTTACTTATTGTTCTTTAGGAAAAGATAGAAGAACGCAGGGCAAGCATCTACAATTCAGTCATCACAAATACCTCCAAAGAGATGATGTGTTTCAGTGACTTTCCAATGCCTGAGCACTTTCCAGTCTTTTTGCACCACTCCAAGTTTCTGGAATATCTGCGGCTGTATGCGGACCATTTTAATCTGCTCAAATATATTAGGTTTTATGTAAGTTGGTTTAAAATGGGGGTACAGCTGGGATCCAAATGTATGCTGGATGGTTGTTTAAAGGAAGAAAGTACAAAGAAACCCGGTAACAAACAGAGACCTTCGGGTAGTGTGGGCGGCATATAAGTTAAATAGGTAAATAAATAAATAACAAAGAAAGCAACTCCTTATATGACAAGCCATGCCCATACTACAAGCTAGAGCTTGGAAAAGTGACTTTTTACTTGCTGTTGGGTAATTCTGAGAGTTTTAATTTAAAAAGAACTATTCCAAGAACTGCTATAAGCATATTTGCACTTTGTACCTGTGTTGTAGCTTCAACCTGGAACCCCCAGTGTGGTGTTTATGGGCACTACTCCATGTATGTGCGCTATCCTGGGCACCCACCATTCCCCGTCCCTCTTAATTTTAAAAAATGTTTAAACTATTGTTTTTAAAATTCATTTAGTGTTAGCCACTAGCATTCTCACTTACAAGGATGCATCTGGACACCGTGTGAGTCCAAATGGCATTTTTCTCTGCTCAGAGAAAAGGAAAGGATAAGTTGAACTTTCTGATTAGCTAAGCTTTGGGGGGAAAACCTCAAGGCTAAAGAGGGTGGCAGGAAACAGCAGGAGGTTTGCTCTGTACTTTGTGTTTATGTGCTGTGGTGTCAGTTATACCTACACAGATATGTGTTTTCTCACGACATGTATATGGTATTGTTGGGTGTGTGTTTCTGAGTCTCTTTCTCTAAATATCACCAAGTTGCTTTCAGTTAAATTTGTGTTTTGTTGTACTTTGTAGATGCAAACACTTGACTTGGGATTGCAGGTCCAGAACCCACCTCTGACGTCTACTCAGTTTCTTAACTAGGTTACATGTCTCAGAGTGTTGTGACCTTGCCTTCTGTTGGGCTATAATTCTTGTCTTCCCAAGCCACCATAGCCAATGGAATTAGGCAATGGGGGTGGGCAGGTTAGGGGACTAAGACTGAAAAAAACTGATTTAGCCCCAGCCTGCTCTAGACAACCTTTCCCAGAGGTCTTATGTAGTTTTTAAAAAGTATAAAGGATATGATAGCACCTAGAAGTATGCCAGAGCCTATGAGGTGTATAAAAGATCCTCAGCAGCATCTAGTAAGTTCATTTCTTGTGAAAGGAATGCTTCTATGTGCCATCGCAGAGAAGAAAGTCAGGTTACCTTTGCCATGCAATCAAAGCTTCGGGGAGGTTCAGTAGAACCAAAAGTAATTTGCTTCCCCATCCTTGTCCATCCCCCATTTAGAAGCAATTCACTCTAGTGAACTAATGGTTTTTTCAACAATTGATGGAAATTAATAATTTGAGGATGCCAAGTAAGCTCTTAGTGATTTGTAGGCCAACACCATCACCACAAACATACTTACAGTTCCAAGGACTTCCTTGAAAGAAGGAATATCGCTTAAACCAATTTGAATGGGTAGCATAGATATACTGTACTCAGCAGAGGGGAAGTGCTACCGCAAACTGCAGAACATGTGTGGAAGCATCCATGGTACTACAGAAGCTGATTGCAAATATTGTCCCTTTTCTGGTTTTTTGGCAGACAGCTGTCATACATATAGAAAAAGCTCAAGATTACTCTACCACAGGCCAATGGACTGTGGTCACAGAGAAAAATGGAAAGCAAGAATGTTTCACTTTTGATGCTGTCATGATCTGTACAGGACACCAGATAGAAGCCTACACACCCCTGGAGAGTTTTCCTGGTAAGTCTTTGTTGAAAGAAATGAATACCTGAAAATATTCCAGTTGTTCCCTCAGATGTGTAATAAGCATACAACCGGGCAGCATCCCTAGAGTCCAGAGATTGGTGATGTTGGCCTAAACAAGAGAAAACAGTCTAATTGCCAGACTTCAAAGGGCTCTTGCTTCAATTGGAAATGGAGAAAAACTTAACAGATGGGCGGCGCTTCAAGATCATCTGCCCCACAGCCTTACCACCTGCACAAATGCACCTGGAAAAGGCAAGGACACAAGACATAACAGAAATAAATAATGGAAATAAAAATAAAAAACATATCTCATTTCTATGCTTTAGCTGCAATCTTACCACACTTTGCAACCTGCCTTTTATCCCCAGCTGTGCAAACAAAGTGATGAAATTGTGTAATTGAGCTGCTTTATTCCAAATTCAGGATCCTGAACTTCTACTGCTCTCTACCCACAAACACTCGTAGAAGAGTTCCAAGCATATATTTATCTTAACAAACTCATGTTTGGAATTCACCGGGCAGGAGCAGGTTGGGAAGATGATTTTAAAGTCATATTTTTATTAAGCTAAAAAAAGGTACAATAATCTGTGTAAGTTTTCAGCACCTTCAACTCTCCTTCAGGCAAAATGCTACAAAAAGCAGACTGGGGAGGTGGGGTTGATTTCAAAGTCATGTCCTCTGTACAGTGGCATAGCATGGGGGGGGCCCACAGGGGCGGTTGCTGGGACAACATCAGGAGGAGGAGATGCCTGCCTGCCCAGCTGGGGGAAAGCTGCCACCATCAACGTGGCCCATCCCTGGTGCCATAGTCCTAACCTCCCTCCGCCATTGCCAGCTGCCCATAAACCAGAGGCGTACCCACCTCCTCATCTCACTTGGCCAGGTGGATTGCCCTCCTGATCCCCCAGCCTGGGTTGTTCTCTCTGCTGCCTCCTCTCCACCCAAGCAATCTGGAGCTGCAAACGCCCCTCCGCCCAGTATTATGCATGGGTTCTCTGAAGACATCAGGTGATTATCACAATCATGGAGCCCTGCACTAATGGCCCATGGGTTGGGGGAGGTCACAATACTCCCTTGCCCCAGGTGCTGGCAACCCACATTGCACCTCTGCATAGGTATGACTGAATTGAAGATGAGGTCATCCTCCCCATTCCTCCACAACACAGATATTAGCACAAAATGGATTTTGGAATTTTATGTCTGATTAACTTAGCTATCTCAGTGTTTTCTAAGATTTCAAGTGAAATCCCATGTGAAGAAAAAAAAGGGTTGGACACCCCATTTTGCTGCCACTTCTCCAGTCCCAGATCCTTTTCCCCACTCTTGCTGTTCCTTAACAGGAGAAGCCAGCTGGGTTTTGCTGCAGGAGTTTGCTCTCACATGCCATCTGGATCTGATCTGAGGTCTGCCACAGGAATTGAAAACTGTGTGTTCCCTCAACCATATGTTTTACATAACTATAAAATGCAATGGTGGATGTACAATAAATGAAGACAGTGGCCCAAACTATGTTCTTACTTTGTTTCGTTTTCTCACAAGAAGAAAGAATAGTGTGAATGGTGTCACTGTCTTGCAGTTGGGCAAATCCAAGTGTTCTGTGTACCTAAATATTGTGAAACTCAACATCAACATCCAGAATCTGGCACATCCAGAAATAGTAAAAAAAAAATGTTTTTTGGGTCCCCCCCCCCCTGTATTTTCTTGCAATTTGACATATTTTTATAAATGCAATATTTGCTCTTTGTTTCTTGCCAGGTTTAGAGACATTCAAGGGTAACATCTTCCATAGTAGAAATTACAAAAGCTCAGAAGGATTTGAGGGGAAGACAGTTGTGATAATTGGAATGGGAAATTCAGCGGCTGACATTGCTGTGGAGACCTGTCGGAAAGCTAAGAAGGTAAAGGGTGGGGCACTTACTTTTTTGGAGAAGCTACTACAGTGTATCTAATGGGCAATTTTGTACTAGGTGTTGTTCACAGAAAAAACAGACGAATAAATAATAATATATAAATAATATTGTGTTTCCCCAAAAATAAGATAGGGTCTTGTATTAATTTTTGCTCCAAAAACACATTAGGGCTTATTTTCAAGGGATGTTTTATTTGTTTCATGTACAACCATCTACATTTATTCAAATACAGTCATGTTATCTTCTTCTGGCTCCTGCACAGTGGTGGAGGGCAGGGTTTCACTTAACTAGGGCTTATTTTGGGGGTAGGGCTTATATTACAAGCACCCTGAAAAATCATACTAGAGCTTATTTTCAGGTTAGGTCTTATTTTCAGGGAAATAGGGTATGGTCTGAGATTCCTGGGGAAAGAATGGGATACAAGTTAATTAGTTATTTCTATTAACTGGATTATCTGCTTACATATGAGGCAATACAATCCAGACTGTAATTTATGAGTGGGATAGCCTAATTCCACTCCATATTGTTGCAGTGAAGGGAGGAATTTTGCATCCCACAAACTCAGCCGTGTAACGTTTTGCTCATGAACTACTCTTGGAACAGCTATAGAACCTGCCTGTATGGAAGCAATTCCATACACACTGATGTGATTGTATCTGCATTCTGCAGATATGCTGAAGAAAAGTGATAATTGCATTCTCGAAGGCTTTCACAGCCAGGATCTGATGACTGTTGTAGGTATTTCAGATTGTTCGGCCATGTTCTGGAGGTTTTTCTTCCTAACATTTCACCAGTCTCTGTGGCCTTCAGAGGACAGGAGTCAGAACTCTGTGTTCTGGTGTAGTGTGTGACATTGCTGAGCATTTGTAGCTGTGGGTTCAGGTTTTGTTCTTTTCAGGAGATTGGGTGATTCTTGTGATCAGGGTATTTTTGTTATGGCTGTATTGTTGTGATAAAATATGGCCTGCAAAAAGGTCAATGAACTCTATCCAGCCACAAGGATCGGTGATCACTGCACACAAAAGACTAGCTAAGGACACCCATCAATCACAGATACAGATCATCTGCCCCCTTATCACAGAATGATAAATCATTCTGACATACAGCAGCTCTATGAATTAATGACCCTTAAAAGGTCTTGTCAGTACAGGCCTGCTCAGGTACTGCAGACTGAAAATTTCCTTTACTGAGTCAATCTATTTTATGTTAGGCCACCTTTTTGTGATGCCTTCTACTTTTCCTAATATTGCTCACTTTTCCAGGGAGTGTTGGCTTATCATGATGTGCCGTTATTACAATAGCCTCATTTAAGTCATTTTCTCTTCTATTGGAAGTTTACGCTTGATTTGGTCTAAAACACATTTGTTTGTCTTTCATAGTATCTATAAACCTCTCTTCCAGTACCACATCAAATAACAGCTTGGCTAGACTGCCATGCTGGAGTAGTCTGGACTGGACTAAATAGGGCCACTTAAGATCACATAGATGCGTGTGGTGTGATCCTTGCATCCACATGCAAGGATCAGGTGGTTTCAGGTTAGGAAACTGCATACCCCTCCAGGGACCAGTTTAGCATGGTTAAGATCTCCTTTTCCTTTTTAAAAGGAAGATTGTTTCCCTTCAAAGAGAAAGATGTTTCTAGATTAGGGGTCTCCAAAATATGGCCCACGGGCCATTTCTATCCTGCTTTGCCTTTTTATTCAGCCCGGTGAACATTGCAGGCTCAGGTCCACAGGCTTCAGTGGCCCTCCCGCTAAAAAGTTTGGAGCCCCCTGCTCTAGATCATGAAGCACCTGGCTCACTGTCTCTTTGGAGAAGCTGGTTAATGATTCTGAGAAATGGAAATCTTCCAGTTGGACAGAGGAGAGCGGACATTTTGCATTTCTTTTTTAAGTGTTGCATATCAGCAATGCCTTGAAAGTGTTTACATTTTTAAAAAGCCCTGTGAAAACATTATTGTGTTCAAACAGGAATTCAATAACAAATGAGACTCCATCTCAGGTCTCTTCTGTCCCAGAAACGAGTATTAACCAATAAATAGCTCAGACCCATATACAACCGTAAAAGGCAGAAGTGGCCGGGTGAGATTCTGATTGGAATTCAGGTGGGAATTTGAAAGAAGCTGGGCAACATTCCAAGTCTCCTTTGCCCAAGTCCAGAATGTCTGTTCCTGCCCTGGACCTCCTCTGAGCCTAATGCTTTCTGGAAACATTGCTCAGCTTGCATCACAAGACCCAAATTTTTCAAAATTCACTAGGAAAGTTAAATTATTACTGATTTCCTTAAAACCTGTGTTAACAATATAGCATGTAAGTATGTGAGTAAACAAAACTGAAAGGAAAGAAAAAGATCTTTCTGAGTAAATATAAAGGATGCTCTTTGCTTTTTTCAAACGTCTGCCTTGTTTGCATAGTGTTTGTACCTTTCATATACAGTATTTCAACAAAGGGAAGTTCTATATAATCTGGGCTCAAGACGAAGATAAATCTTCCTCTGTTACCCTGTAGGTCTTTATCAGCACCAGAGGTGGCACCTGGGTAATGAGCCGAGTGTATGACAATGGCTATCCTTGGGACACCATCTTTCACACTCGCTTCAACAACGTGATTAGAAATTCTCTTCCATGGCTCCTTTTGCGATGGCTGACAGAAAAAAAGATGAACCAGTGGTTTAATCATGAAAACTATGGCCTAGTGCCACGAAACAGGTACAGTTTCTCTCCCTAAAGAGCATGATTTCTCTTGTGCTTAGTGCTACAGTTACTACAAGGCATAATAAGGTGCAACAAGGTAAGTTCAATAAATGTTCTTATAGTTCATCATCTGTCCCTGAAGATACCTAACAATTTGGCTATGCTGAATTTTGTCTTCCTACCTCCATACTGTATATTAATTATGATGATAACTATAAAAAGAACAGTAATTTGCAGGAGGGAAGAGGAATCTTGCCTCTTTGAGGGAGGCAAGAGGAATGTTGTACCTTCTGGTCTGTGATCAAAATAGACCTCTGCCTATCTTCTGCCTTCAAGGTCCCTGATGAAAGAACCAGTATTCAATGATGACCTACCAAGCCGTATCCTCTATGGAGCTGTGATAGTGAAACCGCTTGTCAAGGAATTTACTGAGTCATCTGCCATTTTTGAAGATGGGACTGTAGAGGAGAATGTTGATGTCATCATCTTTGCAACAGGCTACACTGTTGCATTTCCCTTTCTGGACAAGTCAGTGATTGAGGTGGAAAACAATCGTGTCCCACTGTATAAACATGTGTTCCCTCCTCATCTGGAGAAGCCAACATTGGCTTTTATTGGCCTGATCCAGCCCCTTGGGCCAATCATGCCCACCGCAGAGCTGCAAGCACGCTGGGCTACTAGAATCTTCAAAGGTAAGACTATGACAATGATGGCAATTTATCTAATGGGATCCGTTTGCATGGTACTGAAAACTATGAAAGTTTATTATGTAAAATCCAGCAAAGGGAGAAGAGACTGTAGGGGTGAGCAGGGAAGCAATGTAATTTTGGTGCCAGACGCTGTGGTCCCTCTATCAGGAATGGCAAATTATAACATCCATCTTGTAAAAATCACAAAGCACCAACTTGTGACATTAGAGTTGGTTTATTGTGCGCCCAGCTGTGGTCTTTCATCAGACATCCTGTCAATGACTTCAGTTCTGGTAGAGAGATATTGGCCCTGGTGACAAGCAAACAGGTATAGGCCTGAGGAATTAAAGCAGTTACAGAGGGATGGGTCCAGAGACTGACTTGTTCTTTTATAGTAGGGTGCTACATCTCCACACTTATATCATCAAAGAGCAGAAAATGGAGGAGTGAGGAAAGGAAGCTAACAATGGAACCTACCTACCTACCTACCTTCCTTTATCCCACCCATCTAGAGGCTGGGTCACTACTCTGGGTAACTTACAATAACATAATATAAATATATAATAAAAATATAGTAATAAACTAATAAAACACCAAGCCAAATCTCTAAGAATAAAATAACGGATGCAAAAAATAATATGAATGTATAAGGATGAAACAGTGGTCTCAAGGACTCTGAAGGATTAAAACTAGTAGCAGGTACAAGGTAGTTAAACTAGTAGCAGGTACAAGGCAGGCTCTCCACAAATTTTCAGCATCCAGGAATTGCCAATTCCTGGCCAATTGCACACAGCAGCTGCAATTTGACATATGACAAATTGGGCTGCTAGGAGGCAGATCTCCCTGCCCTCTCTTCCTCAGTGCAACCCCTCCATTTCCTCAAAAATGCTACGTAGAAGGAAGTTACATTATGAAAATAAATCAGGAAATGGATTGGTATTCTTGAAGTCAGGTTAAGGTCATATGGTAGTCATGTGGTATTTTGGTTGGGGTGTGTGTGTTCTCTTGGAAAAACTTTTAATCCATTTTGAGCTGTTGTATATTGGTTGAGGGGCTACACAGGCTTTTAAAATAATTGCAGTTGAGGTTTTGTCCTCTAACTAAATTGATTTCACAAGTGAGTAAAAATAAATAACCTTCTAGCCATCCAGGAAAATACCTTGCTTTCCGATCAAAACCACACTTCCTGGGGGAAAATATCCAAGCTTCCATGTATGTTGTGTAGTCACCTTTTAAAAAATTAATTTAAAACATGCTAAACCCAATTCAAATATGGATTTTTGCACCCTAGTGTAACCACACTCAAAGTTTAGCTGAACAGGGCGGACTGTGATATGGGAGGAAATTTCAGGTGTGGTCCCTCCTGTGAATGAAGCAAACCAAATTCAGTGTAGTAAGAAGAGAATTTTTTTAGATTCTCCCTTTTTGCCTTTCTAGGACTTAGTTCTCTGCCTCCAGAGAGCACCATGGTGACTGACACCATCATAAGGAATGAGAAGAGGATCAAATGGTAAGAAATGTATCTTGCGTACAGTAAGGCTGTGTGAAGCTATCAATTACTGGTTCTAGCCAAATATCAGATTCTCAGTGAAGATAGCAGGACAGGAACAGTAACGTTTTCTCATTGTTGCCATACCTGTTGCAACCTGCCTTATTAGAACACGTTTCAGTATTAACTATTGCTGGTAGAAAGGATGGAGAAGATAATTTGAAGAAGCTTATGAGACTGGATAGCTGCAGGGATTTTGTGTCTGAACAAGAATCATCTAGCAAAGTCCCACGCCGCCCCTTTTCATTCTACCGCCCCCCCTGAAAAATGAAATCGCCCCCTGGGGGGCATTATCGCCCAGGTTAAGAACCACTGGTCTAGAATTCATCATTTCCACCACCATTTTTATTTCCCCTGCTTAGTGCAGGTAGTGCGCAGCTGGAATTGGAAGCCTTTAATGAGAGTATAGCATACTAAGTTACGCCACTGAATAGCTTGTGCCAAAAACCTTTCATACAGAACAGAAACACGTGGCAACCTTCCACATGTTGGTAGATGTGCTGGTACATTTTCTGTCTCTTTGTTTTCTCCTCCTCCAAAGGTTTGGTACCAGCCGCAGCCAGTCAATCCAAACAGATTTCATTACCTACCTGGATGAACTTGCTGATGAATCAGGATCAAAGCCAAATCCGTTCATGCTGCTGCTGAAGGATCCTAAGCTGGCTTTGACCATCTTCTTTGGGCCCTGCAGCCCATTTCAGTTCCGCTTGATGGGGCCAGGAAGATGGGCTGGAGCCAGGAATGCCATCCTCACCCAGAGAGACAGAATTGTGAAGGCCACGAAGACACGAGTTGTGGAAAAGTCTTCGGATCAGAACCTGTTCAGTCTCCTTAAAATCTTCGGCTTTCTTGTTCTCTTGGCTGCAGTTTTCCTTTCCCTTCGCCAGCCATCCTCTTCACCCAGTGATGAACAATGATGGCCTGAATGCTGAACAAGCAGAATGCCTGCTCAAGTTATGCATGCTTCTTTCTTCTTGCAATAATCAGACTATTCTGTGCATCTGTCAGGTCACTGCAGTCTTTAATGATACCATACCTGAGTAGTTTGCCCAACTTCTCAGGTACTCCTTCGATTTCAGCATATATTCCCAAATGGAAAGAATAGAGGAGCCTGCAAATATGTCCTCTGGAAATTATGAAATATGTAGATGTGCAGAAAGTATCAATGCGGGTCCACTGATTCCTCCCAATCAATAAAAAATCCACATAGTCATTGTGTTTGCAATTGCTGTGGCCGGTCTACCACCTGCTAGGCAGCCTTCAGGAGACAAGGCTCCCCCTATTTAGCTAAACTCATACTTCAAATGCTGGTCTTCTGCTGACTTGCCCTTGAAGCGTTTCCACATTGGTAGAACATGTTAGAGATACTTTACTGGCACAGCTTGTGTGAGCCTAGAATCTCCTTCATGGCATGACAGGGTAGAGGATATACTGGGGGGTGGAGGAAGTTAAGAGGAATATGTATTTTGTACGCTTAACTTGTTTTAACTTCTACAAGGTAATTTTCTCAGGGATATCTGTTTTAGGAATAAGACTGGCAAATTAAGTCCCTTTTTATAATGTGGTTACGTGCCATCAATTTTCTTCCAACTAGCAGTGACCCTGACAGGGTTTTTGAGGTATGTGATATGTTCATTGCCAGTGCTTTGGTGAATGTAGATGACTGAGCAGGGATTTGTACCAGGTCTCCTGAATCTTAGTCTCCAAGTTTCTTCAGTACACCATATGGGCTCTCAGGTATGTGAGACACTCAAGGAGTGGTTTACCATTGCCACCTCCAGTGAGTTTCCATGGCCAAACAGGAACCTGAACCCAGAGCTCCTGCATCCTAGCCTGACATTCTGTCCACTACACCATAGTGGCTCACATATTTATTATTGAACTGTAGAGTTGGAAGGGACCCAAGAATCATCTAAGTCACTACCCAGCCAATGCAGTAATATACAGTCAAAGCATCCCAACATATGGCCAACCAACATCTATCCATTCCATTGCTGAACCAGTCTTGGCATTAGGAAGTTCTTCCTACTGTTACATCAGGATCTCTTTTATTGTAATTTGAATTCAATGCTTACTTTCTCTTCCAATGACCAGTCACAAAACAAAATATTTTAAGAATATTTAAGAATGCTGTGGATTGGGACCTACCACTGGCATCAATATTGCCAGCTATATCCCTTTGCTCATAGAGACTGCTGGTGGTATACCTGGTGCTTTGTGATACTTATGCTGCTCCTGCCAGGAGAGTTGCTCTCTGAAGACAGAAATGCTCAACTGGCATCTGGTGGTGTTATGATTAATCTCTTTGGACCTCACTAGATGTGATACTTGCTTTCATGTGTCACTGTTCAGTTTGTCTGCATGCCTGATGTCTCAGGCATAGAGCACTGAAAGGGGAGATAGGATAGCACTGTTCAAATATTTGAAATGTTGTCATACAGAGGATGGGGCAAGATCTGTTCTCAATCATCTCACAGTGCAGGACATGTAATAATGGACTCAAGTTACAGGAAGCTGGATTTTGGTTGAATATCAGGAAAAACGTCCTAACAATTAGATCAGTATGACAATGGAACCAATTAACCTGGGAGGTGGTGAACACTCCAGCTCTGGGGGCATTCAAGAGAAATTTGGACAGTCATCTGTCAGATCTGCTTTAATTTGTATTCCTGCACTGAGCAGGAGGTTGGAGTCAATGGCCTTATACTCCCCCCTTTCAACTCAATTATTGTATGATTCTAAATTCCTCTGCCTTGCATTTTCCTCCACAATCTGAAAATAAGAAGAATTATATAGTTTGGGAGGAGAGAGAGTATGAAAGTATGAAAATGGCGGTATACACTGAACATGGGTGCTGCATTTGTTTCTATTGGCTTTGAATTGGGTTGGCATATTAAAGTGCAGAATAGAATAAATGAAAAAAGGTTTTGGTTTGCTTAGTTATTATAAGTATCAACATCACAAATATTTATCTGCTTTTTTGCAAATTATGTCTAATGTGAACATTTCACAAAGTTTATTATCTTTTATATATCAGTTCAGGAAACTTTAATGCCTAAGGTTATTTGTTGTATTTATAAATCACATATTCTCCAAAGAGCTGATAGTAATATATATGGTTTTCCTCTCTCTCTCTCTCTCTCACACACACACACACACACACACACACACAGAGAGAGAGAGAGAGAGAGAGAAAGAGAGAGAGATTTTTTCAATTTTATTTTCACAGGTGCTCCACAAGGTAGGTTGTGAACTGATGAACTGGCCGAGAGAGAGAGAGAGAGAGATTCAATTTTATTTTCACAGGTGCTCCATAAGGTAGGTTGTGAGCTGATGAACTGGCTCCATGTTTCTTACTGACTTTAATGGCTGTGTAGGGATTTGTACCTGTGCTTCCCTTGTTCAATATTCTAATCACTACAGCCTAAGAAATTGAAAGCTTTTAACAGAAAAAAAATATGCCATTGTGGCATCTGCCCAGGTCATAAATATTTATATGATATCTGCATAGACCAGTGGGAGTGCTGGGGGGGCGGAGTCACGAGATACAAGAGACTCAGCAGAAGGAAGGGAAGTTATACTGTATAGTGAGAGATAGAGAGAGATGAAAGGTTTTGGAGTTTTTGTGGGAAAGTGGGGTTGAGGGTGGATGAGGAAGGATTTTTGTTAAGAGGAGATGAAGTATCTACATCTGTAACAATAAATAATTTCTATTTGGTTGTTTTAAAATGACATATGGCCTAGAACTCAATTACTGATGACAAGTAATGTTGATGTGATCAACTGGTGGCAGTTGAGGGCCACATAGCATGAGCTCTTTGTGTGGTGAAACAATCATGGGCCACTTGGAATCATGACAAATTGGTGGCACAGCACTGGGATCTGAAGCAATCCTGTGAAAAGTTGAATGGGCTTAAGTTTAAAGGTATTCCTCGCTAGAAGGAGTTAGGATCTGTAGTAAGAAGTGGTTATTTATTAGAGTCTTGGTGAAGACTTAGTTTCTGGGCTTCTGGACCCAGATCTGGGGAAGCCTAAGATAAGGAAAATATCTACTCAAGAGAAACAATTTGTACCTCAGGATTTACAAGACCTAGTGGCTAGCTCAAAATCCAAAGCTCTGAGGGTGAAGTGCAATGGTGGATAGAGTGGAAGCCTAGGTCAGGATAGATCTGAGGTGGTAATAAAAGCTAAGCAAAAGTTGTTCTTGTGTCTGGAGACAAGAATCATCCAGATGGAGAAATATTGTAGCAAGGGTTTTGAGCTTGGGAGTAGTTGAGGCCAGCAGCTTCAAAAAGCGCAATCTAGTTACAAGGAAAGCTACTGAATGAAAGAAAAGGGCTTGTACTTTTGGCTTTTGTGAGGGAAAAGAACCAGTCCAGGTTAATAATAAATTATATTGTTTATACCACCCAAAAGAAGTAAAAAGTCAGTTATGGAGGCACAAGTTGTGCCCCAGAGTGCTGAGGAAAATGGAAACCCCCAAAATCAAAGGAATAAAGAAACTGAGGGACCTGTATTAATTGTCTCAGAGGGAGAAAATATTGAAAGCACCCAAGATTTTGAAAAATGGAAGTTGGAACAAGAATACAAACTCAGGGAATTAGAAATTAAAGAAAGGGAAATGGAACTAGAAATTAAAGAAAGAGAAAGGAAAAGGGAATTTGAACTAGAATTGGAAAGAGAAAAGATAAGAGAACTTGAAAGGAAAAGGGAATTTGAGCTAAGAGAAAGAGAAATACAATTCCAAATAGAGATGAAGAAATCAGAATTAGCTGCTCAAAATAATAATAATAATTCCAGTGTGGGAAATCTCTCAAAAATTGACCTAAAGGAATTTCCCAATATCGGAAGGGGGATTGTCCTGAATCTTTCCTGATTTCATTTGAGATAGCTTGTTAGGTTAAAGATGATGAGAGGATGATGAGTTTAATTACAAATAAGTGGAGTTTTATCTGAGCTTTATTCACATATGCCTCTGGAGCAAGCTAGAGATTTTGAGGCTTATAGAAAGATGGTGTATTCCCGATTTGGGATTGATTCAGAGCACCTCAGAAGGAAATTTAGGTCAATTTCGAAGAAACCTGAGAAGAATTTTGCCCAAGTTGGGGCACGTTTGATGTAGTGTCTCAATAAATTGCTGGAACAGGAACATGTGACCTCCTTAGGCCACATGAAAAATGTATTTGGACTAGAACAATTTTATTCACTTTTTCCAGGGGAACTGCGTTATCAGGTCAAGGATAAGGATCCTAAAAATGTGCTACAAGTGTCTGCCTATGCAGATTCTATTAGTGAAATCAGCCTTGATTCTCTGAGGTAAAAATAGAGAGAAAATGATGGGACAACAGCAGGAGAACATCCCAATCCACTGGAAATTACTTCAGACAGACTCAGGCTAAGGGAAACCATTTTAATGTGAAACCCTCATCTTCAAAGCACAGTCCCATGAAATCATATAGTCCTGAGGGGAAAACTAATAAATCCCTTTTCCCACAGCATAGGGCCAATAAGAAATGTTTTTCCTGTGGGGAACAAGGACTTTTTTTGCCCAATGTGAAATGCAAAAAAATAAAAATTACAATCAGCCTAAAAAGGTATTTTGCTTGCAGTATAATAGGTCCAGTACCTTACCTTACCAGACAGTCCAAAACCCTCTCTGATGGCGCTCACTCTGCAGCTGCAGCCAAGGCAGCGGTGGAGGGGCTGGCCATGGTGGAGGGTGAGGCTGGGGTGAGTGGCTAGAAGTCCCAGCCGGGAGCAGCCTCTCCTCCAATGGGGCACAGGTGTGGCCACAACAGCGGCCTGGCTACGGCAACTGCTCGTTGGGGCTCCTCACCACCCTCTGTGCGGCCAATGCCACCGCCGCTGCTGGGTCCCGGTCCTGCGGGGCCAAGGACTAAGCGCACCCCATCAGGAAGGAGGAGGTGGCGCCATGGGAGGGCCCTTCCTCTGGGATTAGGGCCCTCTCCACCCTCGTGCCGAGGACTGAGACCCGGCAGTGGCAGCAGCGAGGCCACAGAGGGCAGCGAGGAGCATCGAGGGATGTCACTGCCACTGCCTCCCCCCGCCGCTGCATCCCTTTCCTGCTACGGTAAAAAATTCCCTGCCCCCTGCTCTAACCATTGGGGTGAAAGAGCTACAAAGAAGCAGCCTGTTCGCCACCAATGGTTAGCTATTTGAATTCCCATTCTTTTCCCCCCTGCCTTTTCCTGG